TTGGCGAAAACAGGAGCTCATCAATAGCTTTAAGCAAAGAGCAATTTGGCAGGAATCTAAGATGGCAGTTCATAAAACAAGTCTCTTTTGAACTCTATGCTCTGCGCTTGTTGCATTGAAGTTCAGCTTGTAACGTAGCTTTGTTTTTTCCCTTCGCATTTACGGTGACATTTAACCTTGTTCCTGTCTGCATACTGAGTCACTGCAGTGACATTTCCCTAGTAAAAAAGATGTCTTGCGAAATGCCATGTTATTCTGCAGTCCTGGAGTCAAAATGTTATACCGCCGGATTCCAGAGAATGTGTTCTTGGCTATATTGAGGAAAAATAACCTTGATTCAGTGGGGGCAAACTGGTTGAAGGCAAGCTTTAATCTCCCATTTGTTCCTTGTGCCCTGTGGTCCACCATCGGTGACTGCGCTTTCAACCACTATGCCCTGAAACTCTGGAACACTTTCTCTCAATCCCTCCATGTCACCCCCTCCTTCCCCATCTTCAGATCGCACCTTTCCTCTTCCACTGTGGCTATGGACACCTCCCCTTGCCCCATGTTATGTTTTGTCACTGTCAGGTGCTCTGAGATTCTACCATGCATGAGGGGAGCTATATGAATACAAGTTGTTGTTACTGGAAGTAAATGACAAAATTATAAACTGAACATTTTACATTTACATTGCACTTTTCGAGGACCATTGAAAGTGCTCGAAGCAATCTTATAATGGATTGGATTGTGCTCTTTATTTCTTTATGGGGTGTTGTCCATTGAAATTTAAAAGCTTCTCTTTTTCCACTATTTGAACAGACAGTCTGAATTTGAAAAGTACAGAAATGATTGACCTGGAATCGTAGAAATTATAATACAATTACAGTCATTACAGTAACCATCAAACCTAATCAGAGATGTACAAAGACTCTGCAGCATGGAAACAGGTTATGCAGCCGAACCGGTCTGTGCTGGTGTTTATGCTCTACACAAGTCTTCACCCACTCTTCACTCCCTCTTATACCCTTCTGTTCTCCTCTACCTCATGTGAAGGTCCAATCAAGTGATCTCTCAAGTCCTGTAGCTTCGTGGTTAGAGCACTCACCTTGCAAGCACGAGGATCTGGGTTTGATTCCCGGGCAGGGTGAAACATTAGGCAAGTTTTCTTACTTCACACACCTCTGTTTACCTAACAGGAAGTAGGAACCCGGTTGTTAGTCGATTGGCTGAACACTTGTCTGGGTGTAATAATCCCTTTAATAAATAAAATTTCTTTACTAAAATAAATAACAATGATAATATGGTCACTCAATCCACAACTGTTTATGGGACCGTGTTTCACTCACAAAATATAGTCAATTAACTTTACAGTATATTCTGTGAAGTGCTTTGAGACTTCTCAAAGTCGTGATAAAGCACTGTATCAAATGCAAGGATTATTATTATTAATCATTAAATATTTAGTGAATTCCATTTTAAATGTTGTTATAGTCACAACCACAATAGCCACTTGTGGCCAAGTATTCCACATTCTATTATCCTTCTGCATGAAGATGTTTGTTCCAATCTTTCCCTCGATTCTTAAGTGTCAATCCTGAGATTATCCTGCTTCTTACCAAATATGGATGGCGACCCCATTCCATTAAACCTTAACTGAGTTTCTACCACCAGTCTCATCATCTTCCACCGCTGGAACTTTGATTGCTCACACTCCTTTGTCACTAATACCTTTATCTAAACCTTTACCACCTTGAGGTCAGAATTCAGGGGATTTTCCAACTCCATACATCAAAACGATCCAGAATTCCGAGACACGTGTCCTGTTTCGCAAAAGGTTTTCATATCCCATCTAGGCCAAACTCCTCTCATTCTCTGCACTTCATTACATTATTTTCAAGATCGTCATTTTCAATCCTTCTATGGGCATATTGTACTCTCTGCATTGTCCAGTCCCACGTTCCAGCCTGCACTCTAGCTTTAATAATAATAATCCTTGCATTTGATATAGCGCTTTTCACGTCTTCTTGACATCCCAAAGTGCTTTCTAACTCTCTTGCAGCTTGTTTTCCATTCCCTTCCTTTTACCCATCATAGGCTTCAGTCACTGCACTCCTGACCTCCAGAATTCTCTTCCAAAATCACTTTCTCATTCTGCCTCACTTATCTAACCAATAATAAAAGGCCTCACAAATATTGGAAACTAGCCAAGTTACTGCCAATTAAATGATTCAAGGTTGTTGGATGACAAGATAGATGTGAAGAAGAACTCTTTTAGGATAATAATCTTTGCATTTGATATAGTGCCTTATCATGTAGTTGAGATGTCGCAAAGCGCTTCACAGAATATATTGTAAAGTGGATCGACTTTATATTTTGTGGGTGAAACGCATCAGCCAATTGGACAAAGATCCTGATCCTCACCTTCAAAGCCCTCCATGGCCTTGCTCCCCACTAACTCTGCGACCTCCTTACCTAGCTGCATTTCTGTGTCTAATCAATGTTTTTTGGTACTGGTTCTGCCACAAGTAGTCTTCAGACTTATAGCAACAAATCATAATAATATTTGCCCTCATCTTTTGTGCTCGCAATTTGTCCAAGGCAGACAGCGAGGATAAAACAATACTCGCTGAACTTATTTCTTCGTTCTGTAAAGTAATTTTTAATACATCCTAGCTCTCGTGTCGGCAAAAATGTCCTGAGAAAATAAATTTCTGTAATACGGTGCTAATAATTCATTAGCTTAACAGGCCTCTGCAGGGACTCTGTTTACATGTTACTGGTTGCCACACAAAATGATTTTTTAAATGCCTGTTATCATTCTTGCCATCGCAGCTTCCCTCTGCTGTTGCAAACATCTTGTGCTTCGACTCTGCAGCACCAAGGATTTGAATCAGAGGTTCAGACCACTCTGGAGGGAAATACAGTGTAAATGTCCTTTTCTGGAAGAAAATGCAATGTACATTTAAGAGCTGACAAACTCTTCCAAAGCATTTGAGAACCCAGGAAACTTAGGTTTGGTCATTGGAGTATCTGACTTGTGAATTAATTCCCCTTTTTATCATTCTCTGTCTGCATTTGCATTGTGCTGCATTTCAGAACTTGTGATTGACAGACAGTGAAATACAGATGCTAATTGCTGGCACAGAAAGCGGAGAGGAAATAATTTACCAAAGGGTAGCTCTGAAAATAACATTTGAGTGACTGAATGCTCTCCTTGCCAACAATCGCCAGTAGGTGCTGATATTGTGATTTTTATAGATAGCTCTTTTAATGACTTTATTTAGCCCGATCTATTCGATAATATTGAGTTAAATTCTAGGATTGAAAAAATTCAACCTCTCTTCCTGTTCAACACTATCACAATGGTTTTATTCAATATTCCTGTTTAAATGATTAGTTTGGAAAGAAATCCACCAGAAAATCAACAGCTGGTAGCACCACAGCTCATGCAGTGCAACAAGACAGGTAGGGTTAGGTGCTAAAAGAACATGGGGTGATGGCTGAGGAAGTGAAGGGATGATAACTACATTAAGATACATGGATACTGGGGGGAAAGGGCAAGCATGAACACAATTAATATGAGTACATAGAGATTTAGTTCAACTTATATTCAAGAAACAAAACGTGGGAGTTAGAGGGAAAATTGCAAGAAGAAATAATCACAACTGGAGCAAAATGCACATTGGTTCAATAGGGGAATTCTGAATGTTAAACACTTTGCAGGGTGGCACCACGAATGCACCAATTTTGGCTGGAAATTAAATTTGCAGCCATTTTGAAGTAAATTCCATTTCCCGTTTGGCACAAAAACACTTTCCTGTGAGTTGCCTGCCATTTCACTACAGTGACTGGAGCTAAGAATGTAATTGACGTCTCAATGTGGATAGGTGTTGAGGAGATTAACACCAGCTCTCTGAATGGCCTCAGCTTCAAAAGCAAGAGGAGATTGGCTCCCAGAATCAGATGTGTTTAGGTCTTGGAGTCGATGAAAACTGAAGCCAAGAATGGCTGCAGGTTACCCGCTCGGAAGAGGGGATTTCAATGGAATAGCATAGTAGTTTGAGGATAAAGAATGCAAATTAAAATAAAGGATGGGTATTGAAGAATCGAAAGGAAATAGGAGAGCGTGGAGCAATGTGAAGTAAGAGAGACAAACGCAGTAAATACACCCATATCTTAACCTTTCACCTCCCAATGTATAACCATTTTGAAGTTGCATAGAATTCTGACCCTTGAAAGGTTTAAGGGACAAATTAAAATGACAAAGGACTGATTGAAAAAAAGCATTTAGAAGAAAAATTCATGCAACAATAAAAAGATTTGCTTTAGATATAGCCAATGATTTAAACTTGATGTGAAGAATACTTTCAGCACGTATATATTTATATCATTTTGTATTCTGTGTGCTTTGGCAATGAACTCTCCTGGCTTAGATGAAAATAGCTTCCAACCATTTTTTCCTCAACAGCCTCAAATGTAAAGCTCTTACTTCTCCAGCAGATACCTTGGACAGGTATCTCAGTTTTAATTTGCAGTGTGCTACATGTGGCGGAGATGCATTTTATAGAATTAATGATAAAACAGCCGTGTTAGGTAAGACGCTGCTGCAGAAAGCAGTTTAGGCAGTTTTTTTTTTTAAATTGAGAAACCTAAACGTGAATAAACTAATAAACTAATGTGTGTTCCATTCTCAGAAATAATACCAGAGCTTTCTGTTAATTATTAACCAACATAAAAATGGTATAAGCTTGGGAAATGACAGTCAATGGTACTATATTCACCCTGCAGGGAATGCAGAGGTTTATGTGAGTGCCAACATTAATACTCAAAGGTACAGTGTAAGAGTTAATCACTGCAACAAAATTGAAAATAATCCAAAAGGAAAATGACAGGAAATTTGTATTTTTCCTCCCCTGAAGCCTTTCTGTTTGTGTTGCTTTCTAAACAAAAAAAAATACCCATTTGCTATTACTGTGGAGTCGGATGGTACAAATAATATATTTTTTAAAATATTTATTTTAAATCAGGGTAGTTTACAAAACCGATTAACTTACATCATTGATGGACCTTGAACTCCCTCTTATTGTCAGATCTTACAGATGGAGTAATATCATAAGAAACTGCGGAGAAGAGTTACATATACATTTTCTTCCTTTTTATAAACTTCAAATGACAATCGGACGGAGAACGGTTTGAAAGGGTTTTAAAGATGCACTGAAGCTTAAAAGGTTTGATTCTGAACGAGCCCCAAAACCCCCCACTCCAGTGCAGAGGTTCTTGGAACCGCAACAGTGGCGTTCACTCATAGTCACTCGTGGAAAGTGGTGCCTTTCCGTTGAGAGTCTCAGTGGCTGCAGTCCATTCGGTGCTGTGGTGCGGCCCCAAAGGAAAGTCACACCTCGCACTCCCTGGACGGCTGCTGGTGACACGAACAGGATCCGTAATCGTTAATGATCACAAGCGCCCCTTCAATATGATTGGGTTTGTAGTCGACGTAGTATTCCTGTGTGGACATGGCAGCCATTTGATGCATAGTTTGTTGTTGTTTCTGCTTGCGGCGCTGTGTCACGAAGCATTGCCTCAAGTGTCTCAGGCCCGCGGGAAAGCACTTCCAGGACACGTAGAGCACCAGCACCACTATCAGAAAGGAAAAAAGCAGCGCCATGGTCCCGGTGATCACTTTGTGAACCTGGATGGTGTTTTCCCGTGGCTCTGGCGAACCCTCCTCGCTCGTCACCGTGACTGTGACTGGGGCGGTGGGTTCGACTCCCGTTGTATCCCCCGTGTTGTACGCGGCGGAGCTGAGAGCCTCTCCGGCGGCCGTCACGCTGCGCTGTGCGGCTGTGGCTGTGGCTGCGGTGGTCCCCGCGGTGGCCGGAGTGCTCGTGTCCAGGTCGTCGCATATGTGAAAGCCGTGAACGGCATCGAGAACATCCTCCCCCTGGGTGTGCTCGGGGCTGGCACACAGCAGGCTGCTCTCGTGCTGCCCCTGGAAACTGCTCAGCCAGGTGGCCAACGCACAGATATTCCGACTGCATTCCCAACTGTTCCCCGAGAGGCTGATGCTGGTCAGGGATGACCAGGAGTCCAGGATGGTCTGGTCGATGCTCGACAGCCGGTTCGAATCCAACTGAAGCATCTTAAGGTTAGGCACGGCTCGGAAAGCATGAGGCTCCACGTACTCGATCTCATTCCCGGACAGGTCCAGTCTTTCCAAATGGTTCCAAGTCCACTCCAGGGAATTCACCACGATCTGGACCTTGTTCCACTGCATGTGGAGGGTTTGCAGGGACAGCAGTCTGGGGAAATGAGCGAAGTTCACTTTCACCAAATCGTTGTGCTCCAGGTGCAGCTCGGTCAGCTTCAACAGCCCGGCGAAGGCGTTTCGTGCGAGGCTTTTCAGCTGATTATATCCCACGTCAAGAAACTCCATACTCCGGCAATCCTGGAAGATCCGGACTGGGATAGACTGGAGGGCGTTGGACCTCAGGTGTAAGGTCTGAAGCTTGCGCAGCCCGTGGAACAGGTCGGGCTCCAGAGCCTGCAGGTTGTTGTAGGACAGCTGCACGTGGCGCAGGTTGGGCATAGGCCTGAAGGTGGTGTTGGGCAAATGGGTGATTTTGTTGGAGCTGAGGACGAGCTCTTTCAGTCTGCGGAGCCCCCGGAAGGCGCTGCCCTCCACCGAGTAGATGTGGTTGTGGTCCAGGTACAGCCACGTGAGCTGCACCAGGCCCGAGAACTGCGCGCCGTGCAGCTCCGACAGGCTGTTGTAGCGGAGGGACAGCCCCATCAGGGCCGACAGGTTGCGCGGCATTTGGGTGAGACTCTGCGACTCGCAGTACAGGAGTTTGCCATCGCAGCGGCACTGACTGGCGCACAGGCTGCGGGCGGCCGGCAGCACCTCCACCAGCAGCCCCAGCCCGCACCCCACCCACACCGAGGGCTTCCTGAGCAGCCAGTGCAGACCGACAGCCAACAGCAGGAAATCCATCAGCCACAGGGACACCCGCTCCGCGTTCGCTTTCAATTCTTCTCACTCAAGTCGATAAAACTTTTTTTTTTTTTTCACCTCATCGTTGCCTTCAACTCACAACCGACTGACCGTCCGGCCCCATGTCCGGCGGGAAGCTCTCTCGCTCTCCCTCCCTCCCTCCCTTCCTTTGCCGCCGGGGTTCATCCACCGGCGCGGGGTCGCGGGGAGGGGGTGTGGGGGGGTTGGGGGTTGGGGTTGGGGGGTGTGGGGGGGACGGGAGGGCGTTGAAACAGAACAAAATTAAACAGCGAGTGATCGCGGCATCGCAGCCGCCGCCGCCGGTGGTGGTGGCGAGAAATTGCTTGAAAGGAAGAAAGAAAGAAGTCAAACGAAAATGCTCTTACCCTTCCTCTCCCGCACAGGGACACACCACACACACACACACTCCGCGCAACTAACTAACGCACGTCCGAGCGGTCGGACTTAGTGCCGCTGTAAAGGCTGTAAAAGGAGCCGCTGTGGCTGAATCCGGTCCGGGTTCCTTCCCACCGGTTTATAGCCGGTGCTCGATCCCCCCCTCACACTGGCACAGGAGCACAGACCACTCCGAGACTGGGGCTGTCGACTTGCACTTAACTGTGAAGTTGTTTTCTTCTCTGCCTTTGCTCACTCCTCCCGCAGCAAAGTGCCTCCGTCGGTGTGTCCGTCTGGTCTGTCTGTCTGTCGCCCAGGAAAGCTCCCAACTCTTCTTCTTTTTTTTTTCTGCTTAACGATCCGTTCGCTCTGTCAGACCGAATTACCGTCCGTCGTTGGCGATGACCACTGACCAGTGTGGCCTTTAATCAATGGAGACAGCTAATGACTCATCCGCTGGACCAGGCACCGAGCAGCAGCTGCTGGTTCACTTCCCCTTGTTAGGTGATGCTCAGAGCGAGATGGATCGCCGAGCCTCCCCCTCCCTCCCTCTCCCCCTCCCTCCCTCCCTCCCTCCACACAGCACTGCACTGCACTGCGAGAGCAAAGCAGACGTGCTGAGTGTTGACAGAATGTCGTAAGCCACTCATGATCGTTCAGACTTCCCAGTGGTATGTCAAACATGGGCAGATTGAAAGGGGTGGGCGCAAAGCAGGGCTTTAATGAAGCAGCGAATGGCTTAACATGTTTTTTTTTCTCTCTCTCTCTCTCTCTCAAGAAAAAGCACCGGCGCTTCTTAGAAACGAAACCCGTTTATTAGTTAAAGGCAATGTGGTTACTGTTTGTAGCGAAGTAAGTGTGCGTGTGTGTAAAAAAAAACCCCAACATATCCATCCGGGCAGACGAGATATGCGTGACTTGGGATTCCTGAATGCAACATGCTGCACAAAGTAAGGAGGTGTTATGCAAAGTGCAGTGCAGATGTGGCCTGCACTCTTAAATGATGCACACTGTTTACTTCTTTTTCAGGAGTTTGAGGCATCATTACCATCTGAAAGCTCGGATTAACTCTTTCTAGGCCATTCCTTTCTGACAGCGGGCTGCAAGTCCCCCCCCCCCCCCCCCCACACACACACAGTTAAACCCCACCTCGCCTGCCTTTTTTCTTGCACACACGATGGTCCCCTTGGACCCGATCGACAAAAAATGTTGCAGCAAGTGAACACACACATCACATAAATAGGTTATATCTACAGCAGCCACTCCCTTTCTTACCCCGCATTCTCACGATGGCATCTCCCAGAGGCATATTAAAAAAAAAGTGCTCCACTCAGTGCTTTAAAGTGAGGCGCTTTACATTATTTCTCTGTTAATGAGGGAGTTCTAAACCAAATCTATTACAGTACCTCGGAGAGCTTTCTGATGGGGTTTGATTGCATTCCTATTAGAACAGTCGCAAGGATTCAGTTTATAACACAATATCAAGCCATAAACTCTTGCATGTTTTGCAACATGCCTTCCACAGCTCAAGGAGAAAGGATCCAATGAACATAATCAAGTTTTAAAGGAATGGAAGGATGAGTCAAAGCAATGGGTGGGGCCAGTGGGGAAGATTGCATAAAGGGTTAAACAGCAATGTGTCCATTCTCCCCACACAAGTAATCTTTCACCTGCCTTTGGTACATGTTAAAATAATTCACTCTTTCAAATTTTCACTCAAACCATGTCTGCGTCAACTGTAGTGAGCTCAAATCTTTTTTAAAAAAAATCTGCCTTGTGATATGGTTTTCTCAAATAACTGGTGAATAAATTCTGTTGAATTTTTTTTTTGGGAAACAGTGAGAGCTGACTGCCCGGTAGGTGTAACATGCCTCTTTATTCTTGCCTTTACGATGATGATACGCCGCTCTCGCTGTCATCACTAATGTTCTTTTTTTAATTTGAAAAGAGAGGGAAATCTCATCTCGATCCACGCTGCCTTTCAGTCATTTGGTGTGATTCACACTTGGATAATCAGACGCCAAGAAAAGAGCGGAAAATGTTGATCTGCACAGCTCTGACCTTTTTCATATTGGAAAACCCCTACATTTCAGAACCTGTCTTTTAAAAAAACATATGTGGCTAATAAATTACTTGGAAAAAGAAATGTTTCTCAGTATTGTTTCCCGTTTCCTGATAGAGCGACTTGTCATATGTCAATTTCTCACCACACACACATTCACTCACTCACACACCCACTCAGACACTCACTTGTTCACATCCACTCACACATGCGCACACAGACATACACATCATATTAGCATTCAGTATTAAGAGCTTTAAAGAAACAACTTGCATTTTTATAACGTTTTATACCTCAAAGAATCTGAGTTATTTTCAGTAATTATTGTCAAACGGAGTATGCATACAGCATGTTGCCACATGCAGCCATGAGATGAATGAGCAATTAATCAAGAGGATTATTATTCAGGGCATTGAAAAATCTCCCTTCTCTTTTTCAAAGTGTTTTGAAATCTTTAATGTCCACCTGAGGCGACAGGTCTGCCTGCAGAGTAGATCAAAGGGTGGTAGAGTCTGATCAGTATATTAAGGTGTCAGCCTGGCTCAGTTAAATAGCACTCTCCTCTTGAGTCAGAAGGTTGTGGGTTCAAGCCCCACGTTGGGACTTGTGTAGTCTAGGCTGGCATTCCAGTACAATACTAGCGAGCGCTGCACTGTTGGAGGTGCTGTGCTTCGAGTGAGAGGTTAAACTGAGTTCCTGTCTGCCTGTTTAGGTGGAGATTTGAAATTCAGTGGTATTGCATGAAAGTGAAGGGAATTTCTTCCAGTGTCCTGGCCAACAGTCTTTGCGATAAAATTGCTTATTCACTTAATGACTCTTTGTGGAATATTGCTATGCACAGATTCGCTGCTGAATTTATCTACAAAGTGAGAGTCACTACACTTTACAGTAAATCCTGTGAAGCACTTTGAAATGTCCTCTGGATGTGAAAAGCACTTTTGCAAATACAAGAATTACAAGTGTTATTGAATAACCACCTGGGAATAAAACTCCTGAAAATAAGACATTGATTACGTTACATGGAGTATTGTGACCAATTGTAGGCATCACAGGCATTGAAAGGCTCCAGAGAGGTTTAAGGAGATGATACACGCCTGTAAATGGTTTTCAATATCACAAATGCATTTGATTATTAATCAAGAGAAAGACTGTTTTCATTGATCGGGAAGAGGGGATACACTGAAGATGATCACTAGAAGAAAAAGGGGGAGGTTAGAACAAATATATTCAAACATTGTTAATCAACCTTGGAATGCCTCACCACAAATGGCTGTTGAGGTAGAGTATACAACATTATTTCAACAAGAATTGGCTTAAAACCTGAAAGAAAATATTAAAGAGTATGGGGGGGTAAGCAGCGGAATGACATTTGTGTGGATAATGAATTGTGCAAATAACGTTATTCTGTATTGTGCTATGATTCAATAGTCTGCAAAAAAAGCACTTTGATAAATTGGTAACAATTTGATTGAATGTAGCATTTTTATATTCCATTTTGTGCACCTGGACTAGATTCTTGACTGTAGAACCTTACTGTATAAGTCCTCAGGGCATTTGATTGATGTTGGTCTGTATGTTCCATCCTTTGACCAGGATTTATTTGGTCTTTGTTCAACACTTTCTAATTTGTTTTTAAGATAGTTCTCATTAGTTGAGCTAACATTTGATAATGTCTGAACAAGCTGCTAATATCAAACCTCCTTGTAAAGGTTATTCCTGTGTACCCAGAAGACTGTGTATAAGAATGTATACACAAAGGCCTATTGAGTAAAATATGATGTCAAGCTCAGCGTAATGCTACAGATATGCAGAACTTGTCTGTAGTTCATAGAAGGTCATAGGTTTGATTCTCAGTTACTGCTGAGTTAGTTGTCCTCCGCTGGGAGTTGATGGGATGTTACAATTAGCCTTAATGCCCTATTTAGCCTTAGGGAGGGAAAAATCAGACACAATGCCCACAAACAGTGAGGAAGTGAATAACCAATGTTATGTGCAGGTTGTTAGCCAGGGTTCACTAGAAACCCCCTTCACTGTATTGGAGTGTTTTCCTAGACTGTGAACTGAAAGTCCCTACATGGGGGTTAAACCCACACCCTTCTGACTCAACAACAATAACAAATTACGTTTCTATAGCGTCTTTCATGTCGGGAGTCACTGGACAGTCAGGTGTTGCACCTGAGCTGGGGGTTGGAATCAAGAGGGGTGAAGGGCAGGAAGGGTAGGGGTAGGAAGGTGCCTCTCAGAGGCGACAGCACTGCTATAAATAAGCCTGGCTGCCACTTCTTCCTACAAAGAGTCGGTACCTCAGCATAGGAGGAGGGAAGAAATTTAATATCAGGATGATAAAAGATTATTGCAGGCCTATCTGGCTGGTCGCAAGTATTTTTTAAGAAGAAATATAATTGGCAAAAAAAAAGAAAAATGCAGGGATTTCTGTGTGTGAGTTTCATCACGACAGCGCTAATGTAGTAGTAGAGTATTATCGTGAATTATGTCTGAATTGAAATGCATAAAATAGCTTGTAAAGGATTATTGAAAGGACTGTTTAATGCACAGTTCAGTAGCAGGCACCATTTGTCTTCTCCTCACCTGTTCCTGATGCATTCTGAAGGTCAGTGTAGCGAGGGGGAGGATCAGTTAAGTATGTTTTTGTGTTGTAGTTTTGGTCTATAAAAATCACACCTTGTATAACAGAAATGAGCACAAACATAGG